TCGAGGAGAGGTTTGTCTTAAGAGTGGTGTTTGGTTTGGGAGTGGAATCGGAGGACAGGTTGAAGATATTGCAGAAGCCCTCGACTGACACACAAACGATACAATTCTGCACAAAAACACAACACTTTTCAATACAATCAACACTTCCATGGACTCAACCATTCATTTACTTTCTTGTTGTTGAGGATATCGCCAACGATTACGGATATCACCTGAAGTCACACCAAACATACTATTAATATTAACCACCGTATGTGAACATGAGACAAACCATTCCCAATCCCTGCGAAAGAGCCCAACAGTTGGCTTGAGTACCCTTAAAGACAGCTAAATCGCCCTCAAGAGTGGCCGCAATCAACTCATTGGCCTAAACAGTGATAACAAGAGTCATATTCATTGAGTTGTTACCATTGAGTGACAATTGATTACCAGATCGTTGTCACAGTCGGCAACAGTGATGGCATTATTACTGACAGTGCCGTCCATTTGCAACTGCAAGTGATCCACAAAAGCGATGGACCGCATGTTGTCCTGATCTTCACGTGTCTTCAGTCAACAATTGTCTCAATCATATTGTCATCTCTTTTGGTGTTTTGGTTCAAAACTTTTCAGTCAATGAATGCATGAATTCATTGCAGATGTCGTTATAGACTGTGAGTCCCATTAGTCTGCGCTTTGAATCAAACTTTTTGATCCCTTCATTGCAATCACGCAATCACTTGATCCCAGTGCTGGTCACACAGCCACTGGACTGTTGACCACTGATCACATCTACCTAATAGTAAACCCTTTGTTATCTAATCAATTGACCACCAAATTTGCATTCAAATTACTGTTGGCATACAATCACAGCGTAAAAAGTGTATGCAAACTATCATACCATCAAATTGTACCTGGTCATTTTAGCTGGTTATAGATTTGAAATATTTCTTAATCATTTTAATTATTACATTTTAACTGTCATTTGGACTAATGTTGTCTCAAATGATGTGCATTACAAGTATGAGAGTGTGGTTGTTACCCATTTAATAGCCTAGACACTTGAATACTATACTATTATAGTTATAATACATGGTATACTATAATTAAATTAAATGTTCACACAAGAATTAGGCAATATTATGATAATAGTTTCTGAACACTGAAATCAAACCAATGATTAGTTTGTTAATTCGCTTATATTTCTCACATTATTTTATAATTATAATTTCTACAATTGTTTACGGAAATAGATTTATCTAGATAACATTGTGCAAAAATTTGATAGAAATTTAACTATTAAAATAAATTATATCTAAAAATATTCTGAACAAAAAGAATTGTCTAAAGATTATGTAAAATTAAAGCTTAAAGATTTGTGTATTAAAATTGAAATGTGATGTTTTGTAATATTTAAAAAGAAATTTCTTCTTAAAAAAGAGCTTAAGATCTTATCGTCAAAGACATTGCTGTATATAAAAGACTGTTTAATATATAATTCAGATTTTAAATTAAAAATTCTATAATCATTTACTTTTAAAACTATTTTTTATATTAAATATTATGTTTAACGAGAAATATTAGATATGTTATAA